TCAGGTGTTACGAGAGCCCAATTTCTTGACCACTAGATGTCCTACTCGAGCACTGTGTCATTGAAGCCTCGAGTAATGAACCATTGGTGTGAACACTGTGTCAAAGCTTCAATAAAGCCTCATCGGCCATCACTAGCCACAAGTAGTTCCATCTTTGTCTTCATACTGTCGTGGCATGAGTTACATATAAGCAAGAAGCCGGCTGTGTCATTTAAACCACCCAAGTTGAATTTTTAACGTTTAAAAAATTAAGTGCACATTGACTGCTACTCACCCAAAAACACGGCAGACCGAAGACGGATGGACAACTTAGGGTAATACGGTTCAGCTGTGTAATGGTTGCATTCAAGGGCACTCGGAAATTCCAGCTTCTGGATTCGTAAAAGTTATATTCGGTGACTTCTATACCTGAAATGCATTACTTAAAACGCTCAACCTATCTATCATACTATTACTCAGGTGTGCATATTGAACCGTAATGCTGCCAGGTTAAATAGAGGTATGAACAAAAATAAGGCACATAATAATGCTCCCTTCATGAAACACTTCAGCACTTAGTTCTAAAATGTGTCAGATTTGACGTGTAAGACAGGTATAGCCAGGAGATCCAAACTCGAGATGTCAAGGGCAATAACTCAGAAGGTCGGTACACTGCAGTAGTGATGTGACGTTCCGTAACGAGGCTTCGAGGCGTGTGCCGAGTAGGGGAGGGGGCGTTTCCGCGATGCGCGTATCGAGGCTTGCGTCGTTTAGGGGAGGAGCTGAAAATGATGACGTCCGAAGCCTCGCTGCCCGGCTGTACCACGTGACTGATTCAGGAAGTGGTTCGGATGTTGCCGCGAGTTTTGACAGCGATATAAACCCCTCAGGCTCCATTCAAAATGTGGGTGTTTGATGGAGAGTTGCGGGCAATGACAGTTTGGATAGAGTTAGAGATAGTTTGGAGAGAGGTAGAGATAATTTGGGAGAGACAGAAATATGTCTATCCCCATTTATATAAGTTAGCAGTGGCATTCTTGTGTACGCCTG